GCCCCGCCCCCCGCCACTATCGGGAGCACCAGAAGGTGAGTGTGGGGCTGGCAGCGCCAGAAGCCCATGTGCTCCAGGGGCCTAAAGCCCACTGCTCCTGCCGGCTGAGAGGATGAGCCTGACGGGTCAGTCTAAGGGAGGGCAGCTACACCTGGTGGATGGGAGGAGGGCCCTCCCTGGGTGCCTGGCTCTTGATCCCACTGCTGCCTCGCCCCAGGGCCGGCCTACCAGCACCAACCCCATCGCCAGCATCTTTGCTTGGACGCGCGGCCTGGAGCACCGGGGGAAGCTGGATGGGAACCAGGAACTCATCAGGTGAGCACAGAGGGCCAGGCCCACACTGACTGCGGTGGGAAGGGGTGGTCCCGCTAGCTGGGGTCTCACTGTGCCCCAACTCCTGCAGGTTTGCCCAGACCCTGGAAAAGGTGTGCGTGGAGACCGTGGAGAGCGGGGCCATGACCAAGGACCTGGCGGGCTGCATCCACGGCCTCAGCAAGTGCGTGGGCTGGGGGTGGGGTGGGGGCTGGTGGCCACTGGGACCTCGGGGCTGGGTGGGAAGACAGGGGACCCTTCTTAGAGTGCCCCTCATGCGCCAGCTTAGCCAAGCCTCACAGACAGGCCCAGCCGAATCGTCCCCGTTGTCCCGGTCCCGACGCTGGCGGCTGCTCCCGCCCCCTCCCGCACCAGCCCCAGCGTCTCCTAGGAGACGCCTTGGAAAAGACGAGACGGAGCCTACCAGGTTCCCGCTGGGGCAGTGGGCAGTGGGCGACCGCGGGCGGCATGAGAGGTTGCGGTGACCACGCTCGGGCTGTGCTGGGGGGCCTGGGCCGCCCCCAGTGAACGGCGCTCTCCGGTGTCCTCCCGCAGCGTGAAGCTGAACGAGCACTTCCTGAATACCACCGACTTCCTGGACACCATCAAGAGCAACCTGGACAGAGCTCTGGGCAAGCAGTAGGGCGCTGCGCCCCCTGGCGGCCGGCGGCGGCCCCGCCGGGAGGGTGAGCCACGCAGCCCCTCTCTGGAGGCCTTCCCGGGGACGTTTTTTTTTAAAAATATAAGCAAGGTGTTTTTACAACGTGCGTCTCCCTTCATGGCGACGTGCGGCAGGAAGTGTGTCTTACCTCAGCCGGTCAGTATGTTCTGCATACTGTAATTTATATTGCTCTCGGAACACGTGGTGCCATATTTAGTTACTAAAAGCTCTTCACAAAACCGACTGCTGTGTTTGTCCCTGAGGGGCAGGAGGCAGCTGGGGCCCTTCCAAAGCAGGCGGGTCCTCCAGGGACAGACTGGAGCACCTCAGGCCACGACAGGCCTCCTGCCAGCCCAACGAGCGATGGGGAAATGGGGAAAGGGGACCAGGCGGCTGTGGCGGGGGTGCCTCCTGCATTCCCCAGGAGCAGCCTAAGGAGCTGCTGGGACTTGGGGTGCAATCTCGTGGCTCCCCAAAATTGCCCAGCATTGTCCG